TTCGGCCAATCACAACGCACTGGATAGCTGGCCAATCAGAGCACACCTCGCTTTTCAGACCGATGAGCTTTGTAAAAGTCGACGCGTTTCAGAAAGCGAGGCATAGAGGAGAAACAATAATGTACAGTATGTGGAAAATAATGTGTTTTTTTAACGTTAATCACATAAACACATTTCATTACACCAAATACACAAAATAATGTTCTTTTTAGCAGCATCATATGACCCCTTTAAAAGACCCTTTTCTCTTTCCAGATCCAGAACAATGTTAATTTTACATGTAAAATAGCATTTATGTACAAATGCATGAAAATGCTCAAGTATGTTAACTTCACATGGAAATTAAACAAAGTTACTATAATTCATCTTAAATGTCTCTGTATTCTTTCACAGTATTTAGATGCAATGATCTAGAATTATTTTAAAGGCAAATTCATAAGGCTGTTTAGTGTTTGTCTTTTCATTCAAGGTGTTTTGGCATTTTGTAATATATTTTCTGCTAAATGCAATGCAAGGAGCAATAAAAGCCGATATTTTTCGAGACCATGGACCAAATGGGAAAGTAGGAGCCACCAGCCAGTTGCAACAAAACCCTTTTTATGACTAAAGGTTTTTTTCTTTATTTTCCCCCTGCTCTGTTGCAAATGGGCACAGGCCCAAACCTGTTAGTCTGTTGCTCCTTGCCAACTGGAAATACACTGCTGTATCTTTGTCCTGTATAAGAAATGTAACCATTTATCAGGACCATATTTGTGTTTTTCAGTCATTATTTAATTACTCACCCTGTTTAGAATATTTGAGAAATGCAAGAAGAAACAAACAGTAAATATGTGTGTACATTAAATGAATATTCCGGGTTCAATACAGGCTTCACTGGCGGCACTTGGTGCATAACGTTGATTTCCACAAAAAAAAAAAGACTTTAAAAGCACTTACTATGGTAGTTAATGTAGTGGACAAGGGAACAACTATTAAATCTATACACAGCAAAGGCATTTGAAAGGTAGAAAACATACATTCACTGCGAATGAATGCATTTAACATTATTAAGTTTGGACTGAGATGAATTAAAGGCTCTGGAAATACACCACTTTAGACCAAACAGTTGTCCTGTAGGAGGCGCTGTGGGACATTATCAGTTTGTCCATTTGCACATACAGTATATCCATTATGCCACACTTTTACAAGGATCAATGGAGATGTTGTTTGTTCAGGCAGAGCTGGACTATAAGAGAGTCACAGCTGAAGTCTACAGAGGTCAGTTCCAGCACCGCTTTCCTTACTTCGTGTGAGTAAATTCAACATAAAACAAGACAATAACCCTAACAGTTCAGAGTTGAATTATGATTACAGTTGTGGTAGTTATTCAAAGGGCATTTGTTATGTCATGTAATGTATGTAAACTTCACTGGCATTATTTCATTTTAATCATGTCTTATTTTGAATGTTATCAAAAGAATATTTATCAAAGCGTTGCGAAGATATAAGCCACTTTAAAAGTCTGGCATCGCCCATTTTTACTAATTTACATCTCCTCTCAATGCAATGTCCAAACTTCATGAAACATGATACGCATAGACAACAGGTCATTCTGAGGATGCACACCAAATTACGTCACAATATGTCTCAATAGGGGGCGCTACAACTGAAAACCTCCCACAACTCTGCAACAGTTTGTTCAAATTTGGTGTGTATCTTCTTCAGGACAAGTGCTACCAAATTATGAAAAATCAGTTGTACAAATCAACAAAAATGACCACCAGTAGCAAAATTTCAGCAACGTTTGGCATGAGTTCAGGTTGATTGGGACACTTTTTTCCAGTCATTTCAAAAAGTGTCCCAATCAACCTGTATTCAGATGTAAGGAAGCCTACATGAGGCTGTGTACTAATAAGCTATTTTACATCTTAGCTAATAACTCTGGCATCGTGATAGCTACAAAAGAATGAATCTTTCCTCTGAATCAGTGCCCCAAATGACATTCACATGCTTATCCATTTCCACACAAATGTTTTCCACAACTTTTTTTTTTAACTTCTTTTTCAAACTCGTCTTAGGCCATTTGTCTGATTTGTGCAAAACTGGGTATGCACCATCTCAAGATACTCCAGACAATAAAAAATAATCAAAAGATTATTTTAATTACCCTGAATGCAACATGCAAGCTTCACAAAACTCTGTATTTAATAAATTTCTGATTGAATCTGTGGGGTTAACTACAGCAAATTAGCTCAAGGCTTCTATTTTTCTCAATGTAAATAAATGGCAGATTTTTATTTTATTTTTTAGGAACAACCATGGATTTTTGTAAGCCTTTTCATCAAAATTACAATATGACTTTTAAATAAAAATACATGTTATTTAAAAAGATACATGCAATATGAGCCATTGGTGCTTGGACCCTGATGTTTGCCGCTTTCGGCTATAATATACTTTTATTGTGGATTTTGTATACTTTCTGTGAAATACTAAGAGAGAGAGAGAGCGTGAATCTGACTCTACTGAGCTCTACTACAAAACTTCCACAAAGGAATATTTTATGCATTTATTGATAGGCCTACTACAAATAACAATTATGACAGTCTATAAAGTATAAACCTTTTACAAATTTGTTTACTTTTTACAAATAGATTGCTGTCACGTTGTCTCTCAAGCTATAATTGAGAGTTTTCCACATTAATGAAATGTCTAATCACGTTTTATTATTTATACAAACAAATACAAACACAAGAAATCTCTCTTCAAACATTTGAAAAACATTGGAGCATTTCTGCGTGTTTTCGTATGAATGTACCAACCAGCTAGTCTCAAATTGTCTTTACGCACATTACAAAAGAGCTTTTTGTCCCGAGACATACTCCATATTTTTAAAGAAACACTAGAAATCGTAAGATAAAAACATTACAAACATTTGAAATGACATCTGAATATCACATAGCCTATAATGCATTTCTATTCAAATCAATTTATAAAAACAGATGAAATCAAATAAAATACCTCAATCCATCAGGAGATGTAGCGATTCAAACACGAGAATTAAGCACGTGTATGACATGTTTGCCACTAAGCCTATGATGTTTGGCAGGTCAACTAGTTTAGGATTCCTTTATTAGGCTACAGATGCTCATTTGAATTCTATCCTGTACTGTTCTATTACCTCTGCCTTCTCTGCTCCATTCCATTGGGCAGAAATCCCGCGATAATGGGAACTGGCCATATGAGGGCAGCGACGCTCCATATTATGATGACTAAAGTCATGAAACACGCCACCAGGGTGGATTCGATGGGCTTGCGGTTGAGCCTCCAGCTCCGGTCCCCCTTCAGCTCGTCCAGAGCGAAGTCCACGCAGCAGAAGTGCACCGAGTCGCCCGTCTGCTGACCCTCTGACCTGCCCCGTCGGAATCTCCGGTACCGGGACAGACCGCATCCCACGCACAGTCTGAACTCCTGCTGGCCGCCCGTGACGCCCAGGTGCTCGATGTAGACCGGCGAGATCGCCCGGTTGAAGGCGGCGGAGAAGAACGCCTTGCCGTGGCTGTTCGTGGTGTACATGAGCACGTCGCACTGGAAGCCGAAGTTGCTGTCCCAGCGCGCCACGAGTTTGGTGGGGAGCCTCTCCACGCTCACGTTGCACTGCGAGGAGGCTTCGGGCTCCTCCACAGATCTCTTGGAGTAGCCCACATCCACCTCCAGGCTGGCCAGGAGTCTCCCGGAGGAGTTGATGGGCGGCAGCAGGAGGTCCTCGTCGCTCCAGCTGTGGGCGCAGCGGACGGGAGCGGTCAGAGCCAGCAGGAGCGCGAGGGAGATGCTCAGCATGGCAGAGCGCGCGGTTCCTCCAGGCTCATGGTGGTCTCGCACTCGCTCTTTATTCCGTTGCAGTTGCTGAGCACTCCGTCGTCTATCTGCTCCATCAGTTACGCGTGTGTCCTGTGCGCTTCCGTGGACGTGCTGCTGCTGCTGCCTCTGCGCGCACGGAGAGCGAAGTGACCACGCGCCACCGCTTCACTTCAGTGAGTGACTGTCTGTGATGCAGACTTGTGCTCCTTCACCTCACTGCTTCAGCTGCTAGCGTGATGAGATGTCCTCGTCGAAAGGGGTAGGAGTCTTCATAAGACAGTGTGATAATGTGGGCTCATGAAGACCATTTCACACACACACAGAAGATGTATTTTATACATTGGAGAGACTGGGGCAAGTTGTCACACGTGGAAGTTCCATATTTCAGTAACTATAAGGTCTGAAGTCCAAAAGTGTAGCAGTGGTTTGCACTTTGGTTTCCAACACTTGATTATTTTTAGTATTTATTATTATTATTTAAAATGCATGTCAACATCCTCTTATTTTTGTCATATCTTTTGGGTAAGAAGAGTACACGATTAAACTACACTGTCAAAATATGAACAATCTAAATGACAAGGGGCAAGTTGTCACACGTTCTGAATTTCTGTATAATAATTACTAGGAAATATTTTTCCGCAAATTATTTTTTATATGTTACATTTGTATCATGATTTGTTTTATTTTAGAATTTTTTTTGTTTGTTTTTTTTTTACGGTGAATTTAATTATATAGTATGACAAAGTACCCTTATTGGAGGGGTCACAAAAGGTCAATATGTTAAATGAATGGTTTCTATTCCTATTCTGCCTGGGCGCTAATGGCAGAAATGTTCAATCGTTTTTTGTAGTGCTCTATAGACTTTGAGGTATTTGCTAAGATAGCAAAAACTGTTTAAAGCACTATTTTTCTTTGTACTTTTGTAGTGTTTTCGACCGGCATTAATCTAAAAATATCAATGATGTATTTGGCAATTATGTGTATTCACATGTCATGTCTACAGGGATTCTCTCTGTAATATCATTTACTCTGTAATATCGTTTTATGGTTTTCATATCACATGAAAACAAAATGCCATGTTAGTAACATTATATCGTATCTATCAATTTTAAACAGTAGTGCTGCACTAGTTCTTATTCTTTTTGAGAATAAAATCAATAAAAAATGGTCTCATATGTTACACCTGCTTTAGAACGACTCACCTGTGTCCTGAGGGAACATCTAACCAAATATTAATATATTTATGGGCCTGTCATATGAGGCATAAAAATGAGCCCTTTGAAGTTCACAAGATGGGATTCATTTTAAAAGAATAGTTCACTCAAAAATGAAAATTTGCTGAAAATGTACTCACCCTCAGACTGTCCAAGATGTTGAAGAGTTTATTTCTTCATGGGAACAGATTTGGAGAAATGTAGCATTGCATCAGTGTCTCAGCAATGGATGCTCTGCAGTGAATGGGTGCCGTCAGAATGAGAGTCCAAACAGCTGATAAAAACATCACAATAATCCACAAGTAATCCACACCACTCCAGTCCATCAGTTAACGTTTTATGAAGTGAAAAGCTGCGTGTTTGTAAGAAACAAATCCATCAAGACATTTTTTAACTTCAAACCGTTGCTTCTGGACAAAATACTAATACTGATAAAAAGTTTTGCAGTGAAAAGTCACATCTGAATAAAGAAACAAAAATATGTATAGATCAAGCAGCATTTACAAGTCAATCATTAATAGATTAGAGTCATGTGGATTACTTGGTGGATTATTGTGATGTTTTTAGCAGCTGTTTGGACTCTCATTCTGACGGCACCCATTCACTGCAGAGGAAGTGATGCAATGCTACATTTCTCCAAAACATTTTTGGGTGAACTAGTCCTTTAATGCAATGAACTTTAGAATCAACATAAAAAATCATCAGGTACTAAATAATTTTTTTTGAATGATATGATACATTTATAAGAATATTACAACATCTTGTCCCTTCTAGATGATAAATATAATAGTCAATTGATTTTCTGAAGAATACATGTATCAAACATGTATGAATAGTTGTCTTTAGTCGATGTTTAAATGGCTTAATTAGTGCTTGAATACCACCTCCCGTTTGAAGTGAGAGCCAACTGATGTGTTGTACACATTACCTTCCATTTGCACCTGAAAGAGGAACGTCTGCCCTGCTCTGGATTTTAAAGCAGAACGGATTATTCATCCTCTCACCTCACCGTTCCTATTCCTTCATGCACACACGGTCCAAATTCCCAAATACTGGCCCCTGAAATAAAATATGCTCCACACAATATGGCAGTGAACAGAGGAAAAATGTAAATGACTTTCTTGTTCATTAATTATGCTATAAAAATGTAAATTGCTCCAGTGCCAAACATGCTAATGGGACCAAGATAAAAGCCTCCTTTGTCAAAGCAGAATGTATGAAAGATTCAGAATATTTCTTTTCTTTTTAAAATCAGGAAAAAGAGAGAGACGTATTTGAAGAACCCCATTTTTCACTTTCAAAACACACACACACACACACGCATTTACACCTGATTTACTGTAATTAGGTATTGGCTACCAATTGTTTTCCCCAGCCCGTTCAAGTTCCTGTGTAGATTAGGCTTTAGATGTTTCATTGATTCCAGTTCTTGCATTTCCTCATTGCCACTAAAGACAGATTGTTCCACTGTCCACTGAGTTCTGTCACTGTGTTGAGTCTGCTGTGACACAGATTTGAAAGAACTGTAATAAGAAACTTAATATGGAGTTACCCAAACCAAAGTTTATTACTTTAGGCCCCGATATACTCACGACCATGTTTACAGCAGCACTGCAGTTCACCACTTCTGTCAAGTAAAGTCATGTCACGCTTATTTATATAGCACTTTCTACAATAGATTGCTTTAAAGCAAGCAGCTTTATAGTGTTAAACATGACAGTAAAAAAAAAAAGTTTCAGTGTTGCTTTCAATCAGCTTTCAATCAATTACGACTATGAAGCAGCTCTCTAATGTGTTCATGTTTTTACTTGCGTCTGACCTTGACAGACTGAACTGAAGAAATGAACCAAAGAAGAACTCCCAAGTATAAATATAAACACAGGACTTAAACAGACTAAATTAATCAAAGAAATGAACAGCAGGTATGCAAATTAAACAATGAGTAACCAAGGAAACTAGCAGAAAACTAGGTCACAGAAGAAACATGCGCCAACCATCCGAAACGAAACCAAACACAGATGAACCCTAACATTATCGCCCCCTTAAGAAGGTGTGACCTCGCACCTTAACATCCACAAACTACACAAAGTCCAACAAAGGAGGATGGGAGGGGGATTAGATGGGGGACGCTGAGCAGGAACATGGGACAGGCAGGGCCATTGTGGAATCCGCATCATAAGATCCAGGACGCAGACCCAAGGTGGAGTCGAGAGAGGTGGTGACTAGGGCTGCATGATTAATTGAAATTAAATCGCAAAGGCGATAAATCGCAATTAGGCAGAAGCAGTGATTGTCATGCGTATTTTTCAGTGAAGCATGGTTCTGTGATCAGTAGTAAATCTCCATCTGACGGTCAGAGGGCACTCTCGTGCGGAAACTCCAAATACACCTCGCAGAAGAATCCCAGGAAATCCCTATAGCAGTTGCTGAATAAACAGAAGATTTAACTGCTTTCATTAATTCAACTTGACTAATAAACACACAACTACGACAATATATGGTTTATCTGAGTCCGTTTTATTATAATTTTCATTAGAATAAAGTATATAATAATGCAATGCTAATCGACATAGCCTTTATCACTGCTTAGAATAATATGAAATATGTTGCGTGCCTTATTCTGTGTAAGAAGCCACATCATCTCACAGAAGGATTTATTTCAAACACTCGACTGATGTTATGAAGTGAGTTTGGAGTAAAAACATGTAATTAAATGTGGTATTTTCATGTGCTTTCAGATGGAGCAGCATTTACTACACAGAGCCGTAGTTCACTAACAAGCTACGCAAACAGCTTTTATAATCGCAGAACGATTTCTTCGATTTCATAATTGCGTGATTAAATCGTCTGCGATTATGAACACGATTTTGCGTAGCTTGTCAGAGAACTATGGCTCTGTGTTGTAAATGCTGCTCCATCTGAAAGCACGTGCTAAAGATTTACTACTAATCACAGAACTGGCTTTACTGACAAGATGTGCATGACAATTGCATGTGATTAATTGTGCAGCCCTAGTGGTGACTTGAGAGGTGAAGTCTCTTGAGGATGATTGACGGAGACAGAGCCGATGGAGGTGCAGACCCAGGCGAAGCCGAGAAGACAGAGATCCAGGGTGAAACTGAAGGGCCAAGGCGGAGCCGCAGACTCGCAGGACCGAGGTGAAGACGGGGGCTTGGCAGGACGGGGCGATGCCAGTGGGACAGAGGACCATGTTGGAACTGGAGGGATGGAGGGACAAGGCACAGCCAGAGGAGTGGAAGACCGAGGTGGAGGCAGGTCAATGTCTGACCAAGGCAGAGCCGGAGGGACGAGGGAGCCCAGTGGAGTCAGAGGACTGACGTACTCCGTTGGAGCTGAGGAAGTGTGGAGCCAAGGAGAAGCTGAAGGGTCGGAAGGCCGAGGTGGAGTCCAGGACTTAAAGGACTGAGGTGGAGCTAAGGGATTGGGTGCCGTCAGAATGAGAGTCCAAACAGCTGATAAAAACATCACAATAATCCACAAGTAATCCACACCACTCCAGTCCATCAGTTAACGTTTTATGAAGTGAAAAGCTGCGTGTTTGTAAGAAACAAATCCATCAAGACATTTTTTAACTTCAAACCGTTGCTTCTGGACAAAATACTAATACTGATAAAAAGTTTTGCAGTGAAAAGTCACATCTGAATAAAGAAACAAAAATATGTATAGATCAAGCAGCATTTACAAGTCAATCATTAATAGATTAGAGTCATGTGGATTACTTGGTGGATTATTGTGATGTTTTTAGCAGCTGTTTGGACTCTCATTCTGACGGCACCCATTCACTGCAGAGGAAGTGATGCAATGCTACATTTCTCCAAAACATTTTTGGGTGAACTAGTCCTTTAATGCAATGAACTTTAGAATCAACATAAAAAATCATCAGGTACTAAATAATTTTTTTTGAATGATATGATACATTTATAAGAATATTACAACATCTTGTCCCTTCTAGATGATAAATATAATAGTCAATTGATTTTCTGAAGAATACATGTATCAAACA